GGTCAATAGCGTTGAAAGAAAAATCTATACAACCATACTATGTCTCAAGGAGGGTATGCATATGTTTATGATATAATGAATTAAGAGAAGTGGGAAGCTAAAAGACAAGCAGTGGGAGTTGATAATATTGAAGACGTTTCTCCTCCATCTCCTGTTAATCGTACTCAAGCATGGAAGAGAGGATGGATGAATAAAAAGGGAGAGTTTATTTCCTCGGAGGCTAGAGAAGTAGCTAAGAAAATTGTAAGTATTTTTATAGTCAATATCTTAATCATATAATTGAAATTTATTACTTACATTGATTTCTACTTGCTTGCATGTTCCAAGATGCTCTTACAGAAGCATCATCCGAGAGGACCTTTGTGTCTACTGGTAGAAAGGACATATTGACCACGGCCTTAGGGAGTGAAGAGCACCCTGGCTGTGTTGGGGGGTTCCAAAAGGTATAGGTATAAGACAATATTTTGGACATTCACCTTCTAATCTATTACCAATCCAGTAAGTGCAAATGATGATAGCAAAATGCAAGTCAAGCATGATGATGGAAATGCAATCAATGATTAGTAATTTGCAAATGCAACCACAACAAACATCGAATTATGGTAGTGGTACAGATCCAGTGTGTGATCTTAACCTATCAGATCAAGGAATGCCATGCATATTTTATGTGAAGGATCATGACAAATGAGTAGTTGCATATGGAAAGGTGTAACAATGCAACTACAGTCCACCACCAACATACATAACATAACCAAGTAAAGGTAATGGTTAAAGAGGTTATGGATACTAATGCTCCTATACTATTTCCTCTTAAGGAGGTGAAAACAATAGGACAAACTCAATATAATTTCATTATTTGGTTGAAAAAATAGTCCGACAAGTTACCGAAGAGGTATGAAAATGTTACAATTTTTTATTTTTTAATTAATAACATAGGTATTTCTAATTTTTATTATATATTAATTATAGGAACTCCTACAATCAAAAGAATCTTTGGATTCCAATCCCCAACCAATGCAAGATGAGTTGAAAGGATTGGCTTTAGTGGTGGTTGACATGAATGAATTTTCTAATGAAATAAACATAAATAAAAAGATTGTTGGGAAGCCTATTACTTTTAAAGTTTCCAGAAAAGATATTAGTGACCTCATTATTTTTGAGTGGTTAGACTTGTCAATAATTCAAGTTTTTATCATGTAAATATTCATTTTTATTTCTAAATTAATATTTTATATTTTTATTTTATTGCTAACATATGTCTAATTATCAAACGTACTTCCACAAGATATGCACTGAACTTGGTGTCGATGAGAATTATGGATTCTTATCTCCACTTTTAACCTCCATTAGCAAAGTGAATCAAAGAGATTCTTATATTGGAAAGACTATGTGTAAGCAAAAGAAGAGATGCTAGTTTTTACCAATTATTGAGAGGTATCAAATTTTAAATTCATCGCTCAATTTATAAAAAACAATTGCTTAATGATGTGATATTAATATAAATTAATATATTGTAGTCATCATTAGATGCTTCCTGTCATTTGCCTATATGAAAATATTATATACTGGTTTTGTTCACTGAAAAGGAAAGTAAGCGATGACATGAAGTCTTTGATTGAATTGTAAGTTTTCAAATAATTCTATTTTGTGTTATTAATAATATATATTTAATATTTTCTAAGTGTGTATATTTGATAAGTAGATCTTTAGTGACGTATTGGAAATCAGCAGGAATGGTTGACAAAGAAAAAAATGAATCAAGTTTGTACCAATGCAAGTAACTATTTCAAATTTATTCCTTAATTAGAATGAAGATTATAATATTGATTTAATGAATTTAATTATTTCTATTTTCTTTATAGTGTCCTTAACAACCAGGAAGTGTAGAATGCAGTTATTATGTGATGATTTTTATGTATGAAATCATCACTCAAGGTATTGTTCACTCATTTGATCAGGTAATAATTTGTAAATAATGATTTATAATTATAAAGTTTTCCATATACTTGAGTTATCATTCATGCGTATATTGTTGAATTTGCAGCACTTCTAAAATTTAGATCCATATTCTAAACAAGAGTTGAGACATATACGCAATTTGTGGTCTAATTTTTTCTTAGAATTAACAGGATTAGAGTAAAAACTTTCTAGATATTTTATATTGGTAATGTAAATTTAGTTCATATGTGTTCTCTAGATATATTTGTGTTGGTCTCTAGAGTTGCTGTTTCTTAATTAATGCAGATTTTATAAGTAAGAAATGTATATAGATATAAGTATACAAGTAAAAAGAAATATAGTATTTACGGCCACAGTTATTATAATAACTGTGGTAAAAAGTCATTTATGGCGACATTTTGTGGATAAAACTGTGGCCATAAATGATCTCTAAACTAATTTTTTTGCCACAAGTGAGTTTGGACCTCTGGTGAAAGATAGCAAAAGATGCGATCTTTCACCACAGGTCCGAACCCACGTGTGGCGAAAAATGATATTTTTCACCATTGTGTTTTTCGCCACAGGTCAGATGGGACCTGTGGCGAAAAATAGTATCTTTCACCACAGTTTTTTTTAACCTGTGGTGAAAAATGTCTATTTACTATCATAGAATCTTCTACTATACAGCATCTTTCGTCGCCAAAAATGCATTTTAATTGTGGTGAAAAATGATTTTTGCACTAGTGGATGCCTAAAATCATAAATGTTAGATTTAAACAACTTAAACAACTCTCATTAACTTCATTTAATAGATTCAAATGCCATAACCCTATAAGTTTGAAAATCAACTTCTCACTAAAAAGGAAGAGGAAGGAAAGAAAGGATATAGGTGACATACCCCAAGTTGTAATAAGCTTTGAAATGCTTTTAGACCTCTAGAAATTCAAACCCTAGCATAGCTTTTGGCATTCTCTTCGTTCTCTCCCTTTTCCTCTTCTAATTTCTGAACTAATGCATGCTCAAGTTTTTCAAGCCGAAGTTCATTCTTGTTATCTAGTCTCTATGTCGTAGCGGACATTGTATGAGTTGTGGCACACTATAGAGGGATGAATCTTCCATATTTTCCTCCTCCTTCAAGGCCTAGGTAACCCAACTCCACTCCAAACATAATCTTAAGACTGTAACCACCATCCTTTAACCCAATTCCACTTAAATTTGCCGAATTAATCTTGTTAAGTCACTTAATCTGGAAATTAAATTTAAGGATGTTACACTCCCTAGATGTATAAAACCCAAAATTAATGCTAGAAATGATTCACTAATTTTTAATCACATTTTCATGTCAATTCTCACACATAATCATCTATGTAATCAGATTTTTGCTAATAAATTTAAAGAAATCACTACCAATTGCACTATAAATACCAATAAATTTAGTGAAATTTTGGAAGTCATCAAAATGATGCCATCAAGAGTCCACCATGACTAAATTATGAAGCTTTAGAAGAACAAGAAGCTTTTTGTTACAGTTGCAACAGCGTGGGGATTTTTTTTTTTTTTGTTGCAAAAGATGACGAGAGACGAAGGGGGAAAAATGGTAGAACTAGAATGCTAAGAATGGGAAGAGGAGGGACCCAAAATATTATGTAAAATAATGAAAATATAGTCTTGAATATAAAAATTGTTATTTTGAATTATTTGGTATTCAAAAACTTGATTTTTTTTTATGAGGTTAACATATAATAACTATGTGTTCTCAATTATAATTAGAGATCAAATTATATAATATTATCAATTTGTTAAAAAAGTTAGAATTTAATATTTTGCAATATCAATTTATTATAACTTTTCAGAATTGAATATCTTGTAATATATCAATTCATTCTACCATTTTTAAATTTAACTTTTTCAATTTATCAATTGATCTTAAATTTTTATTCTACTTTTTTTAAAAAGAGTAATTTAAAGTTTAATATTTTTCTCTATCAAATTAATCACAAATATATATATATATATATATGTAAAATAAAATTTACTCTGTTTTTTGTAATTATATATCTCAACTAGGTTTTGATCAAATCATGCAAACAAATTTCAGTTTGTCAAACTAACTTTTAGAAAAAGGTATCTAAATATAAATTATATTATAATCACATACTTTTATCCTAACTTTTGTTTGCTAACTTCAGCTGAGAATTTTTTTTCTTAATCCAAATACGTGGCATGTTATTAACTTCAAATATTAAACGAAGGGGACATCATTGGTTTGGTTAGCAGGTGGCAAGCTAAAATTAGTTAGCTTTATAAAATTATATATTGTTAATTCTAACCAACTTATATTTTTTAAATGGAACATTAACAAGATTGTTCTCGAAAGTTCAGCTTTAATTTTATTTCTAATTTTGTTGTTTACTATTACTATTACTATTACTATTATTATTATTATTATTATTGTTATTGTTGTTGTTGTTGTTTGTAGTGAAGTGGCTTGCCTATTATGTTCCATAACTCCAAAACTTCTGCAATATTTAGCAATTGTTTTGGAAACTTTATTTGTAAGGGAAAAAAAATTATTATTAGCATATTGGCATAAAAAATGTAAATAAATTAAGAAAAAGTTTATGTGGAATGTGACAACAATTAAGTTTGAATATTAAATGTTTTTAAGTTTAGCTGATATATTTTATATTAGCACATAAGTAAAGCATCCAACTTAGTGATCTTTCGTGTCCTTCTCTATCATTTATTTATTGGCTACTTTAAGAAATGCTAACCTACAGAACCATGTGGGGCTACTTGGGTGTTCCAACTTTCCAACCTTAGCTTACTCTTTTATGCCCATGTTGTTCACTATATGTGTTGGGTACTTTTATGTAATTTCCACACATTTAGGACCAGTTATATGTTATTTTTCACGAGTAGGGTACTTTTACATAATTTTTATATGAACAAGGTATATAATTTTCACACAATCATACAACTATACTCATGAAAAAAGTTGTAGATTGCTATCTGGATCATGTTAAAATTACAAACATGTCTCCCGTGGGAAAATGACAAAATATAACAATACTTTTATTCATATTAAAGTTAACATAAGAAATCAAGCATGGGACATCTAGTGTCTCACTCTTGTAATGCTCTAATTTATTAATTAGTTATAATAACCTAGAAATTTTGTTTAAAAAAATAATAAAATAAAATCTATGATAAGTTATTTAATGATAGTTTTATAAAGTTTGGAGTAGATTTAGCAAGAAGAAATGGTCGTCAAGTGGAGTTCGTGTTATCCATCGAACTATTTGATTGATTATGAGTTCGAACCCTCTTTGTGTTTACCGGGGAGTTTTGTTTTTTGGCCTCAGATCGTATAAATGTACCATTTTACCCCTCAAAAGAAAAAGAGAAAAGAGGACGGGATTCGCACGCGTTCTGTACTTTCATTTTCTTCTTCGATTTTGCTCTGGACCGTGCAGAGAACGCACAAAACCCTCGCCCTCTGTCCCTTGATTTCTGTCTTCCTCTGCCGATCAACCCACCGCCCACAAGTGAAGGAACTCCGTTCGCCGCTGCCGTAGCGTCTCGCTGTGAGTTTTTTCCCTTGGTTGTCGTTTGTCTGTGCCGCTGTGCTCGTGTACATATGCGTGTTCAAGCATCCCTCTTCCTTCATCTTTGTCCTTGTCCGTCCACTGCCGGTGACCATAGAAGCACCAGAATTTTCCTTTTCCGACAGTTGTACGACCTGTTTGGATCGGGCTCCCTCTCCCCTGTACAGCTCTGAACTTCTCCATCCTTTCTGCGTTGTAGAGATCTGAGGTGAGGCACTTCAATTTCTCTTCTCTTCTTGCGTGGGATCTCTGTGTTTGTGTATGGGTGACTAGAAATTCGGATTCTCTTCCCTTGTTCAGTTATTGGTTCTGTCAACGAAGTTGATTGGGTTGTTGTTGAAATTGATTTTCCCTATCTGTTCAAGCGTGGTGCGTGGATGAGGATGTGATGGCAAGCTGGAATTAATTCTAAGGAATGCATATATATGTACACACACACACAAATTATTTTATTTATATTTTCTCTGGTTGTTGGTTGAGGATGATATTTATGTGTCTGAGCTTTCTGAGTTAACTTAATTTTTGGTATGAAATTGGTTGATGTTGAAGAAATGGAAGATTGTTAAATCTGAGTATTGATAATGGGAATTACTGGAAGGAGATTGGAAAAGGAGAGAGCTTGGTAATCGTTTGAGGTTTTACGCCTACAAGTTATTCGATAAAATGACTAAGGGGGTCTTGTTACATAATGACATGATATATATGATGATTATATTGTTGATTAAATAAATTGAAAGATAATTATTCTTTTTAACGAAAGTTGGAAGGTACGATTAGTTCAAGTACTAATATAAGAAACATTTGGAAAGGGATTTGAAAAAAATTGGTCTTATGGTAATCATTGAGCGTAAAAAGGACGTTCGATGAAGCGTATGAAAAAGAGACATTTTGGGTTTATAGTGGCAAAGCAAATAAGATAAAAGTAAAGATTTTTTTTTTATTCCTCCAAGTTATTTTGAATTAAAGATTTTTGGATGGTAAAGCATGTTTGAGGAAGTGACAATGATATTATTTGAATGTTAGGAATTTAAGGGCCAAGCATTGTCACCAAAATATTAATTTGGAAGTAAGTTATACACTTAGAAACTCTACAGGTAAGTAAATAGCGTCTCAATTAATTTATCACTAACATTCTTTTTTTAAGATTTTTTTTACATAGATCATTTAATAATAATTATATTACGTATTTAATACTTTATTAATTAAATTATTTTTATCTTGAAAAATTATAAAGAGATGTTGAAAGATATTTGAATTATGAGATGTGTATGTGTTTTTCGTTACAAAGGATACTTTCAAGATTGATGAAATTATTTTTATCAGCTTTGATAATTTTGGTTTCTCAATAAATGCAAGCATGAACATTAGTTATGAATTTTTATTCTGGCAAGTTTTGATGTTTAAAGCTATTTATGCGAGTTTAATTTTGAGAATGAAGACTGTATTTAAATAGTGATAACTTTCTCACATATTTGAAAATGAATTTGGAGAGTACTTTTATACAGAACACTAGTTGCTAACAACAGCTCCATTAGCTCTTGGCACGTCATGGTTAATGATTAGCTAGTTTTATTTTCGTGAGCTCTGTTCTCATGTTTGTTGTTCATGGGTCATGCACTCGCATTTGTTTTCGTGGCTTCGACCACATTTAGCCAGAATTACCCTAGTGGACTGTGTATTCACGTCTATTTTCGTGGCTTTGACAACGTTTAGTTAGTTACCTTGATGGATTGTGTGTCCGCGTTTGTTTTGTGGCATATGCCGTGTTTGATTATTTACCCTCATGGATTATGTGTCCATGTTTATTAATTATTCTAATAAGTTTTTATAAATATGAATTTGATTATTTGGTGATTTTATATCTCATTGTTTTAATTAGTAATTTATTTAATTTTTATTTATTTCATTTATTTGCTTCTTTGAAAGCAAATGATAGTAACATTTGATATGAAAATTTAATGGTTCAAGATTTTGTTTAAAGTTATATAGAATCTCTTTTATTTCAAAATTTATTAAATTTTTATGAAAATCATTGTCTCTTTAACTTGCATAATTGTTTCAAATTTTTCTTTTATTTATGTTCAATTATTTATTGTTGGGACATTATTCACTGAAAATATTTTTGGTTTCAGATAGTATTGTTAATGATTTACCTCCTGCTGATATCTGAGGGGCTCATTGTTGAAGGGATGAGACCTTTCGAGGATACTTTCCTTTGATGTAAAGGTTTAATTATGTGTTATATTTTGAAATTATGATTAGGTGCTCCACATTAATCATAGATAGGATTCTTGTCTGCAATTTATTTGTCTATCTGTTGTGGAGGAGCAGAACTTCGCATTTCTGATTTGGGTTGTATATGGTTGTTGTAGAGGTTTCAGGATGTCATATTTTCAATTGAAATTCTACTAAAATTTTTACAAAAAATTTAAGAATATTTTGTTTATATGAAAATGTTATAATGATTTTTCATCCCATTTCAAATGAATTAAAATATTATATTAAAATTTCCTGATTAAGGCTTAAGGGATGTATGATTGTGCATATATTTTGTGTCAGTCATGTCTAATTTTTGAGGATTGACATTAGTATTCTTTTTTGATTATTGAATCTGTAAAAAAAAAAAAAAGAAATTTTGATATTTTATGATGATATTTAATATTTTTTTATGATTCTAAAAGAAAAATACCTAAAATTATGCATTTATTATTATTCTTAAGAAAATTGTAAAAAAATGAAAGACTTTATAATTTCATCTTTGTAAGATAACAATATTTTTTATTTTATCTAAAAGCTAATGAAAGAAAAGAGAAAAAAAACAAGTATTGAAAAATTGGGGAATCATAATGTCCCATGGAATCTATCCATTAATTTATAAAGTGTAAATGTGCATATTACCCTTCAAAATTTTAGTCAAGTAGATAGATACTGAATTTATTTATTATGCAAATTGTTCTCTTAATTTTTTAAAATGGTGTAATATGGATCTTACCATCATTTCTTCTATCATTTTTTGATTAGCTGACGGTTAAAAGTTAACATTTTTTAATGGTAGAGATCATATTGCATTGTTTTTAAAAGTTGAGAGAATAATTTACATAATTATTGAGTTTAGGATTTATGGTGCTATTGAACATTAAGTTCAAGAATTAATTTGCTCATTTATCTATTTATAAAAATGGATTATGGTTTGTAAAGCTAAAAAAACTGATTTATTCAATTTCATGCTTTGGAGTTTGGGTTGAATGTGATAGTCTTATTTTCTTTTAATACTTTAAATTCTGATACGTAATTTGATTTAAATAATGTTGCCTAATACCCCACAATATGGCAGCAATAGTGTTTTTTTTTTTTTGGTAAAAAGAAAATTATTACATTAAAACTTAAACAGTAGTAATACTCACATTAGAAAAGGAAGAAAGTAAAATAGTCACATCCTTCTGCAGCACACGCAAGCTAAAAGGAATTCCATATCTCAGATAGCCAAGATTTAATCTAGGCGCAGATGAACAAAATGCACAGGCAAAATTCTCAGGAAAATAATATTTATTAAGGTAAATCAAATCCATATCTCATAAATCGAAGTTGCATAAGCAGGTGGGCACTAAAAATAGAATAACAAGATAACAATTGTTTCTTCAGTTCCAGAAGCATAGTTTATGTCTTCTAAATAATTAACAGAGAAGTGACAAGAGCTCCAAGTGAAAGAAATCCACATTTCTCCTTAATTAATTAAGCTCTTAGAAGATTCCCCAATAACATATTGCGTTTCTTTTTTTCCAGCAGAAGAAATATATGAACCATTTGGAAGCTCAATTTAAATATCCAAGCCACCCCATCGTGGAGAAGAGATTTGACACAAATGACCCATCGACAGTTGCTCCTTCTTCACAAATGAAATAAGTACTACTACACATAATTTCAGAACCAGTAAAAATAATTGGCTAAAGAAAGGACCTATAGAAATAGGTTCTCGGTTATTGCTATAGGTTATACCATACAATTAATACAAAGTGCCTCTATATATGCATAGAATTGAAAACTTCGAAATTCTAGCACTTTCATCCGTTTCTTTAGAGGGCCATAAGAATTTGATACTCATAGAGACTTAGGCCTAGATCCCGCATTTAGAAGTATGAAATACTAGTATATTTGAGGTTTTTAAGTGAGTTGATTCTTTCACCACAATAATACATTTTGGGAGAGATTTTCCTATACAATTTGAATTTGAATAGCCGTTAATTAATTGGTATCAATGATGGTGGCCGATAGTTTTAGAAAGGGCCATCTATAATAGAAAGGGCTCTAAGTTCTGACCAATGAAGGGTTTTGAAGCACTAAATGTAAAATATGAAGGGACAAGGATAACAATCCATGAGCTTAAGCATCCGGAGCATTTTATAACAGCACATCCTTGATAGCCTTCAAGAAGTAAATATGACCTCATAATAACGTAAATTTCATAAAGTTAAGGACTGCATTTTGTAAATCTATTTCACACAGAAAAAGTTAATTTTGTACACAAGAACTCATAAAGCAGACTCCTACATCGCAAAGTTATCAAGTGTGTGCTTCATAAAAATAGACTAAAGGAAAAAAGAAAAAGGAAGGCTATATATACATATATAACTTACTTCGATCAACTTACCACAGTCAATGGCCTCCACTCTCCCGGTGAGAGAGAGCGTCTTCCTCTTCGGTAAGTGTGTGAGGGTCTTTTGAGTGTTTTTCCCTTCTGTGAGTGAAATCTTCTCGGAAGTTTTGTGAGATTTACTGAGTTTGTGTTCTGTGAGGTTTCCCAATTAAATGAAACCAGGAAAGATGGATGGCAGATAGCAATCCCCAAGAGCCTATGTTTGGGTGAGTGTAAAGATACCAATTGCCCCTAGTGTGATATTTCAGGGGTAGATTTGCACTTTAATGCTTAAGTATATGAAGCTAAGTACATACATACATACATACATACATATATATATATATATATATATATATGTATAAGTCTTGTCCTAATGTCCTTACTTATTTTGTTATGCACATTCTGGCCTTGGTTGACTCTTATAAAACTTTCTTACAGATTTTCTCTGCGTAATTTATAAGGTAAGGTTCTCTATGATTTATTATGTTATACTATGTTTTTCTTATATTTTTTGTTTAACTTATGTTATTTTCGTCTTTCAAGTAACTCGCTTATTTTTTAAGGATATCTATTTTAAGTTTGTCACTTTTTCTAGACCTATATTGAATATAATCATTTTAGGTTGAATTCTTAACTTTTCATTATTGGTGCCATATTTTCCTTTACTTCAAAATGATTTCTTGATACATTAGAAGAAATAAAAATAAAAACATTATAAGTTAAAAATTAATATAAAACAGAAAAAAAAAATTAAGCGAACAACTAAACTAATCCCTTATTTTCATCTTTATAATTTTCCTAATAAAATAATTGTGTAAATTTTGTCTATGTTTAGCATTGACTAGCTGTCCTTTTCTTTTTTGACCACTATATGTCTTGTTTAACTAAACATTATTAAGATGGATAGGCCAAATTCCCATAAATGTTCTCAAGCAATAGTCCAATGGTTTTTGAATTTCTTACATTTGAAAAACATCCTATACTTTTAAGTAGGGCAATTTTTCCCTTGAGATACTTCTATAAGGTCCAAAAATGCCCTTCTATTAGGAGGTCGTTAACTTTGCCGTTTTCTACTTATGTGACATACACATGGGGCCCACACACAGTAATGAGTAAGACTTTGACCATATCTTTTTATGCTAATTTGCCTCTAAACTATTTTTTTAGGAGCACTGGGCATCCTAAAGTTTTTTTAGGAGTATTAGGTACCTTAAAGTCTTATTAAAATAAAATTTAATAAATATTGCCAAAATATTAAATATTTTCATATTTAATAATTTACATATTATTATTTATAAATATTCATTCAAAATTTATAAATTACTTTTTAAATATTAACAACTCAAATTAGTATTTTATAAATTTATAGATGATTTTTTATTTTTTATATATTGATCTTTGATCTTTTCACCGAGACAATACCAAAATCATTTCGCCTTTTTATATGCGTCTATATTTTTAATATTGGTTAAGTTCCTTAAATTTTTAAGTCATTTTTTGTAAACTTTCTTTAGTCAACTGACCATCTTCCTCCAAAATATTGCACTACCTAAGTTTAATACCCTCTGTATGTTGCAATGTTAGGAGTAAAATAAAAAACATGACAAATCAAGACCAACAATGTGCCAATAGAAATCTTTATTTGAAAGATATTGCTTATTCCATTAATGTACCATAGAAAAAGTTTCTTAATAAGAGAAAAATTGAGAGATGAGAAGAAAAAATTTCTTCATTAATTTGGATATTCATTCCCTTTATTTTTAATACAAAATTGCAAAATATCACGAATATTAAAATATTAAATTGGATAGTGTAATGTTTTAAATAGTTATATTTAAATTATTAAATATTAAAATACTTAATATTTTAACAATATTTATTAATTTTTATTTTAACAAGACTTCAGAGTACCTAACATTCCTAAAAAAGATTTTGGGATGATCAACATTCTTAGAAAAAGAGTTTGGAGACAAATTAATATCAAAGGACATGGTCAAAGTCTTACACATGCCACATCAACAGAAAATGAAAAAAAATTAACGGTTGACAAATAAAAAGAATTTTTTGCCCCTGAAAAAAATAATTTAGGAGTAAAATTTCTTCATTTAAGAGAATAGGGTGCTTAGTGCTCTTAAAAAAGTATAAGGATAAAATTAAATCTTGAAGTTTTAGTTAATAAAATTTGTAAGTGGGCCTCTCGAATTGAAGCCTTACTAAAGTTGGTTGACTGGTATAGGGATGATGATGATGGTACAACATATACGGTTACGTAGGCTTGAGCTTTTGTTTTCCTCTTTCAATTTCTCCTCCATCTTTCCTTAATTCATGGCCTCTTCTCCTACTTATTGCATCCGTGTGTGACTGGACATTAGATGAAATAAAAACAAGGGAGTAGAGTTTAAATGAGCTGAATCGTTGAGGGGGGAAAGAGCTTGTACTAAGTATTCTTCTAACATGTGTAGTGTCTTGATGAAAGGCTGAACAATAAAATCTGATTTTTTGCCCTTCTCTTTCAAATCTAAATTATGTCTATAACTTAGAGGATTTAATTTGAAGAATAAATTTATGAATTAGTAAACCTTGTGAAATTTGTTGTTTTTTTTATGTGGCTTGAACAAAGTATTAACAAAGTAAGAAGTTTACTATGTTAGCTTATTTTGTTTTGCACACGGGGTGTTTGTCAAAATATTTGAGTAAAACATTTTACTCAAATGAATGTTTCTATGAGAGTATCATA